TTGTTGACCTATTCATTGCCCTACTATCCAGGTTTAGGTTACTTTATTTTAATTACTTAGCTCTGTGAGTTCTTCTAGAAAGTCTTTTACCCGTCGTGATTTTATTTATAAATTGTCTTTAGAGCTGCCCGGCTTTTAGAGTAAAAATATGAGTTTTGCCTAGTATTTGCTGATTTATATGTTTTGCAGCATGTTGTACGGCTACTAGTTAGGCCTGGAATACTGTTTCATGTTATCAATATATCCAGTAAGAAGAATGTAATTTTAACAATTTGTCGTTTTTAACACGTCTTTTATGAACTTTGCCTCTCTCAATGCTGGATAGTTTTTTCATAAATTCTAAAGCTCTTTGCATTCATTGCTAAAAGGATGTCTTAGCAATTCCACAGAAATATTTGTAGCCTCTCATGTCAACTAATCCTTCTTAGGCTAGTTTCTTAGCCTTTTCATTGCCCTAATTTACCTTGTGGCCTTATACCTAGGCAAAGTTCCTATTGCTTTTTTAGACTAATTAGCTTAATTTGGTCTTCTAGGCAGTCCATTGTCAAACGCTATTTAATTTTGAGTAAGAAAATTGCCTTCAAAGCTGCTTGGAAATCAGAGTAAATAACAATAGTTTTTCTTAATACTTTCTAATTTATTATTCCTCTTGCACAGTCTTGTATAGCTATTAGTTTAGCCTCAACTTCTGTTGTGTGTTCTCATAGACTTGGAAAAATTCTTGTTTTCGACTCGTTTACAAAGATTCCAGCACCGGTTTTTTCCTTGGTTTTTGAACCGTGGTATTCTAGATGAGTTAGGCCTGTACGGAAGGTTTCTGTGTCCAAACTGGTATTTAAATTTAAATTTGTATATGGTTAGTGGTTATGACTATATTAGTAGACGTTCCTAAAATTTTATTCGTTTTTACTTGCTTGTATAGGCTTGTATAGTCAAAGCTGTGTATTTGGCTTGTTGGGTTTTATCTCTGCATTAGCCTGTAAATGCGGACCTGATTTCTCCTTGTAAAAAGATGCATAGTTAAGTGAGGTTTAATAGTACCTTAACTGTTGAAACTGATGTAGTATGCACGGTCCCTCTGGTCCTCAAAAAGGCGAGCCGCTAAATGCCGGTAGGTTGGCCTATTACATTTGCTTGAACAATTTTAATTACCACCTCATTTACTAGAAATAGCATTCATTATTTTATTAGAAAGAGGAAAATTTCCTGACCACAGTAGAATTTTGTGTAAAAAATAAGTCATCTTTGGTATTATTATCATTCTATTACAATTTTATTTATTTAGAATTACATATGTTTTGAAACACAATTCTGGTCCAGTCAGAGTTAATTAAAATTTAAAAATATTTAGTGGTTTACACATTCAAAAACAAAAAGATGGGTTTCGTTTTTGAAAATTTGTATGTGTTTTTTATGTTTCTAATGAGACTACACCAGCAGATGGAATTGTAAACCCAAACAATATGTTGTATTAAATTAATCAAAATATAATCTACCGAATATACCAAGAACGTTTCATTTGGCTTTCAAAAAATTATTTTATTAGCAATATTTAGTCCGTTGGTAAAATAATCATCGATGTATTCCTCTGCAACTGTTAAATAATTCCATCTTCCATGTCTTCCAGGTCTCTTGACACATCTTTTAGAGTAGTTCCTGATGACCTGCGGAAACAGCTATCAATATAAAATTCTAGATTACCCAATTATTACAATGTGTACATTATCAATTTTATTAATGCAAACTACTTGATTTCTGAATTTCTTTTCTGGTAATTTAACAAGAATACTTTTACTTTGCTTGTGGTCTTAAATTTAATTTTTTTTTATATAAATATCGTATGAGAAAAGGAAAATAATAAATTTGCAATAAACTTTGATTTTATATATAAATAGCTTATATCAGATAATTACCTCAGAAGAACTCATAGTTTAAGATATCTTAAATATAGAATATGGAACATCGTGTCCACAATGTTTGATGAATGTTTAACTTCACAATATAATTCATCAAATCGGACATTTTTAGAAAATAACTATATCTGTTTTTATTTCTCCTTCAGACAAAAAACTGGCCAAAAGCACATCCGTATCGTTTTCTTCATTTCGCCGGAAGTAATTTCAATGATGTAACTTACTGCCTTATCCATGCCTCATCCCTGTTAAGCTTTCATTAACTTTTAATAACTTGACTCTGGAAACTTCCTAAAAATTCGATATCCTCCACTTTTCTAGCTCTTGAGTTAGAGTGTCAGAAGACTAGCAATGGACTCTATTTTCTTTTACGGCCCGTACTACAAATTTTGTTGCCCTGGTCACATAATTTTTTCTTTGTACACAAAAATGTAACTGAACGAATATATTACTAAATAAAGAAGAAAAACTAAAAAAAAATATGTGTCACATAAATAGACAAGAGATCGCTTCTCTACTGAAAATAACTACTCTTCTGGTTATATTATACCTAGAGCTAAATTGGATTATGGAGATATAGAAAATTACTTTGAATAATCTAGCTTTGATATTATATACAGGGTTGGCCAAATCTCTGTCGTAGTTCTATAACTCCTATTATGCAAATCTTAACGATTTATTCGAAGTATATCTGTCAATGGTGGTCAAAACCAAATATCCCAAAATTATTTTCCTGTGTACAGGGTGGCCCAATAGTAAATTAGGCAAATCACTTATTTTTTTTTTAAATGGAATGACCCAACTTTTTTTCCAATTTTAGGTACTCTATGGTCACTAGTGCATAACCATAAATTATTGTTTCTAAAATCCTACTCCTTTCGCAGAAAAAGAAGAAATACCAAAAAATATTACATTTTCAGACGCCTATTAAAATATGCAGTGCTCTCTCGAATTTGACGTTAGAATTTAAAAAACTACAAATGTATAAAGCCAATAGACCAAAGATTTTTTTAGACCAAGTTTTAATTTTTTATTTTGTACAGGGTGGTCACAAATTAATTTCAATTTCCAAAAATTTCTAGGATATTTTTTTAAAATTTTTCAAATAGAACACCCTGTATTACTATTCATCAATGAAACGAGAATTTTATACGCTTCGACTTCCCCATGTACTTTCCTATACCTATCTGTCGTCGTTTAAAAGTAAATTCCAAAAAGACATTGATCTATCAAAAATCCAATTTCTACCAGTGGTTTTATTGAAAGTGAACATTCAATCAAGTAGGCTGGGTCTTAATGAAGTGTCAGATTATTTATTAATATAGTGTCAAGTTATTTTTACTGATCGCGATAATTCTTCTATTAATAATGGATTTTACGAAAAACGAATTAATTGACATGGTCTATGTTTTGGGTGAATCCGACAGAAATTGTTTATTGGCAAAAAGAATTTATCATCAACGATATCCCGATAGACGCATCCCTGATCAAAAAAGTTTTGAAAAGTTACATGAAAGATTTACCGAAACAGGAAATGTTGCTTATAAAAAACCAATAATTGACAAACGTGCTACTGATAATGATAACCAATTATCTGTAATTTTGACAGCAATAGAAGATCCTCATGTAAGTCAAAAAAAGATTGCCGAAGTAGTAGGTATAAGTAGAACATCCGTTAGAAGGATTTTAAAACAGCATCAATATCATCCTTATAAAATACAATTGCTTCAAGAGCTAAAAGACACCGATTTTGATAATAGAGTAGTGTTTTGTAACTGGGCACAAACTAAACTGCAACAAAATCCATTTTTTTTTTTTGATAGAGTGCTGTTTTCTGATGAATCTACATTCCACAAGAACGGATTCGTTAATAGACATAATTTCCACTATTATTCTACGGACAATCCTAACATCATCAGAACACATAGCCAAGAAAGATGGAGTGTAAATGTTTGGGGAGGTATAATTGGGGATCATGTTATTGAGCCGTATTTTTTTGAAGGCAACTTAAATGGTCTGATGTATTTAGATTTTTTAGCAAATCATTTTCCTACTTTACTTGAAAACATCTCCCTTGCTGTAAGACTAACAATGTGGTACCAACATGATGGGGCAGCAGCGCATTTTTTACGCGAAGTGGCAGATGAATTAGATGAAAAGTTTCCAAATAGATGGATTGGTAGAAATGGTCAAAAAAAAATGGCCAGCTCGATCACCTGACTTAACAAAACCCGATTATTTTTTGTGGGGTTATATTAAAAATCTAGTCTATCTTACGCCACCTACAACACCTGAAAATATGAAAGAAAGGATAGTGCAAGCTTTCCATTCCATTACACCTGATATGCTTAGAAACGTTTCTCGATCATTTGCCCAACGAATAAATGTATGCATTAGAGAAAATGGCAGACATTTTGAGCATCTTTTATAAAATGTAAATTTATGTTTTAGGATAAATTTCAAATAAATTTTATTATCGTAATTTTCTTCCTTTTGAATTTATTTTATAACGGCGACAGATAGATATAGGAAAGTACATAGGGAAGTGGAAGGGTATGAAATTCTCCTTCCGTTGATGAATAGAAATACAGGGTAATACATTTGAAAAATTTTAAAAAATTTCCTTCGAAATTTTTGGAAAGTGAAATTAATTTGTGACCACCCTGTACCAAATAAATCTGTGTTAGTCCTAATTAATTTTAAAAATAGATCAATACATTTACTTTATATCCTCTGATTTCCAAAACGGATTTCCCAGTACCATTCAGTGCATTTTCAACAGTAACTCAAAAAAAAATCTTAAATTAGTAAATTGTTTTCAAAACTAGTTAGACTATGTTTAATCCACGCGAGCGAGTTACGGTCCTGTTTCGTCTTCTTCTACTAAACATCTCAGGTTGGCGTAGTGCGTGACCCCAATACACAAACGCCAACAGCTCTCATGTGACCAGACAATGGGCACTTTTCGTATTAGTAAACAAACAGTTTCCTGTTTCAAAAGGAAGTTTTCTACCAAAATTGTTGAAATGACCATTTCTATTAGATTGGATTTGCGATATTGGCAACATGTGTGACTCTAATCGAGTTTCATTGAAAATATGCCACTGGTTCTTCGGTTAATGACTTTTCTTTTTCAGCTATGCTGTCTTTTTGTTGAGGTGGTCTTAAAAAAGTTAAGAAAATTTGTGGTATCTCAATATTTGATCAATAATTACTGACTCAAATTGCGAGAAACTTGGAAAAGAAAGTAATGTTATTTTTACAGGAAAAGGTTTTTATTGTGTTAAATTTTTTATTTGACACAACACTAAATACTTTCAAATTTAACTGGAATACTGGAATATTTAAGAATACGAGAGCAGGCTACAAACTATTTGGTCCAGGTAACAAAACAACTGTTTTAGTTTGTCTCTACACGGCCAATCTCTCCATTGTTTCAAGAGATAGAAGAACGGGTTTAGAAAAGAAGTTTTTAGAACCAAAGTATGTTATACAGGGTGAAATACATGTATATATTAAAATTTTAAAAAGTCTATGATGTCTGAAAATTAATTCCACTAATTTTAGTATTAAATGCTGAAAATCATTTTGTTAAAAAATATATGAAAAAATAATTTTTAATTCAAAATATTGTGAAATTTCTTAAACCAGTCAAATTTGCAGAAACACAGAACGGGATGTTTAGGTAAATTTTAAAAGAAAGTAGCATCCATTACATTTACGTTTAAAAAGAAGTGTAATGGCAGCTGGCCACTAACTGTTTAAATTGGCGGCATACGAAAATCTTTTTTATTAATAATTTTAGGAAAAAAGTTATTCCTTATAAAAAGTCAAGAATATTCTAAAACCTAAAATACAACCATCAAATATTAAATTTTATCACTCGTATAAAGAATAAAGGTTCTTTACTCTTGAGTAAAACTCATATTTTTTGACAAACCTCGTATACCACAAACAAATTTGATATTTGATGACTGTATTCTAGGTTTTAAATAATTCAGAACTTTTTATGAAGAATAACTTTTTTTCCTACAATTAATAATAAAAAAGTTTTCCATATGATTCCAACCTAGGGGGACATACTGTATACAGAGCTAATATACACACTAATACAGATGACGTAACGACTAATAAATATCTGACAGAACACGTAAAAAATAATAAAAATTGATGAATTTTCATTTTATTTTTGCAAAATTCAACGAGTTATAAAATAATGAATGTATTTACACCGTGCTGTATAAAATTATACAGGGTGAGGCACCGAAAACGAAACAGATCGCATATCTTGAAGATACATTTTCTTTGGAGAAAATGCAAAAAGGGGACATCTTTCGATCATATCCTCAACTATCCTACATCCCTCCCCACCCCTCTGTCACTATTACCAATGAAATTGAAATAGGGAAAGTACTAAGTGTGACACATCATTGAAAAGGTAATTTTATAAGGAATTTGACTGTGACAGTTTATTACGTAACTTTTGATTTTAGCGCCATCTTGCGGGAAAAGTTTCCGTATTTTAAATAATGACACTTCATTTGAAAAAAAAACTCATTTTATAGACAATTCATAATAAAAATAAACAAAATAATAGAAAAGTGAACATAAATATTAAATTGAAAAATTTAGGACAACTTCCATAATTAAAAACTAAATTAGTTCAAAGTAAATGCTTAAAGTGTTGTCCATTAACTTCCATACACGAATATAAATTATTCTGAAATCTTTGTCTGACGTTTTGGAGCATTTCTGGAGTTATTTGACGACATTCGGTAATAATACGTTCACATAACTCTTCTAAGGAACCTGGCTGAGTGGCGTATATTTTACTTTTCAGATATCCCCATAAAAAGTAATCTAAGGGAGACAGATCAGGAGATCGTGGGGGCCATTCAATAAATCCTCTTTGTCTAATCCAATGTCTAGAAAAGTTTTCATTTAAGTACTGACGAACCGCTGCAGCAAAATGTGGAGGAGCCCCGTCCTGTTGAAATATTAATTAATTCCAAATACATATCTCCAGTTAAAGTACCTGGTAAAAATATTGGACCAACAATACGATCGTCAAATATTCCAGCCCAAAACGTTTAACTTTTCTGGGTGTTGAGTATGCGTTTCATAAAATACTCTTAGATTGGAATCTGACCAGTATCGACAATTATGTCTATTTACAGTCCCGTGAATATAAAAACTGCATTCATCTGAAAAACAAATGTTATAAAGAAAATGTGGATCTTGTATAGCATGATTACACAAAATTGCAAGCGGCGATCAAAATCGTCTTCGTTCCTGAACTAAATGAATTTTATAGGGATGGAATTTGTTGGCTTTAAAAATTCTCCTGACGGTACGGTCACTTACTCCAGATAATTCTGCAAGCTCTCTTGTACTAAGAGTTGGATCTGCAACAACTTGTCCTAAAACGGCTACCTCTACGGCTTCGTTTCTTACTGGATTTTGAATCTGCTGTTTTTTATTTTGAACAGATCCTGTTTGTCGAAATTTTGAAATTAGTAAATGTGTCTTCAAAATATGCCATCTGTTTCGTTTTCGGTGCCTCACCCTGTATTATAGATATTATATTAATTTAATTAAATAATAATCAAATATTGCTTACACTTGACTTTGACTGTAAAACACTCACAGAGACATTGTTAGTTAAACTTGGAATACACGTTTAGCTGTAGTTCAAAGAAACAAAGGATACATTGTCCCAAGGGTCACAAGATGAGAATCTAAACGAAATAGATTGAGGATCAAACTCTGTTGATAAACAACTTTGAGAGTTTATATTACTTGGGCCTAACGTTGTAGCTTTACGTTCAAGTTTTACTGAATAGCGGCTCATAGAAAGGCAATAATGGCCTTAGTAAATAAAAACAACTATGATAACGGTAAATTACTGTTATTGGAGTTTCTATCTGCAGAACGTTAGCAAAATAAATTATATTAATTGACATTCTTAAATGATACAATTTTTGCAGTGGATCTAGATCTAGATCGATTATTCACAAGAATCACTTATTTTGTATTATACGAGGTATGTTCTCTCTGTGTTGAACATATTTAGAAGGTGATAAGATTTTTGTAACAAATATTGTTTGACATTTGAATACAGGGTGTACCAATAAAAACTCCCAAGCCGGATATTTTGGTAAGTAATAGAGATATTTTAATTCTGTAGAAACCATTTCAGAGAACGCTAAGAGAGCTTCAGGTTTAGATATACATCAATTTTAAATAGATCAGTACGTAGATGGCGCTGCGCTCAATTTATTTTTTTAGATAGGAGGATCTTTCTTATATAACTCATCTTGTAAAAAATGCATTTTTAAGCAGATTTTGTTTTATAAACTAATTTAGTAAATCTAGCCATTTTTGATATCACTCAAAACATTTTCATCCTGTTTTTCAGCATTATCATTATATTTTAAGAAAATGCTGAAACGGCTGAAACGGGTCGATTTTTATTCCAATTTTAAAACATTTTTACAATACAGACATCTGTCATGTGTCAACCCCCTCCCTTGCACTTCTCCAACACCTTAATTTTAAAAAGTTAATATATGTACCATGTATAGCACATCATTGAAAAGGTATAGATAATAAAGTGATAATAAAATTTTGTAACGGTATATTTATAATACTTTTATTTTTCTTCTTCTGGGGTCCTACCTCTAATCTAATGTTTTGTCATCGATAACCATTTGTGACATGGTCATTATATTGAATTTCCAAGTCATCTTTCTGTAATTACTATTTTTTATTAACAAAAGCCTACAATATAGTATGGTAAGCATTGGTATTATTGTTTTTTTAATTTCAGGCAATGAAAATACGAGATTTATTTGTATACCAAACCAAACTTATAATTTTTGTAAAATCTTCTTTTGCTTTCTCTTAATAATTGAATCTAATCATCTAATTCTTTTTTTTTTTTTTCTTTAACAGGTTGGAATCTATTTTTAGTTATACAAAATCTAGATGGTGTAAATAATATCTTATTTTGGAGATATCTAAAATGGAAAAATCGAAAAATCGAAAAATCGAAAAATCAAAAAATCGAAAAATCGAAAAATCGAAAAATCAAAAAATCGAAAAATCGAAAAATCGAAAAATCGAAAAATCGAAAAATCGAAAAATCGAAAAATCGAAAAATCAAAAAATCGAAAAATCGAAAAATCGAAAAATCGAAAAATCGAAAAATCGAAAAATCGAAAAATCGAAAAATCGAAAAATCGAAAAATCGAAAAATCGAAAAATCGAAAAATCGAAAAATCGAAAAATCGAAAAATCGAAAAATCAAAAAATCGAAAAATCGAAAAATCGAAAAATCGAAAAATCGAAAAATCGAAAAATCGAAAAATCGAAAAATCGAAAAATCGAAAAATCGAAAAATCGAAAAATCGAAAAATCGAAAAATCGAAAAATCGAAAAATCGAAAAATCGAAAAATCGAAAAATCGAAAAATCGAAAAATCGAAAAATCGAAAAATCGAAAAATCGAAAAATCGAAAAATCGAAAAATCGAAAAATCGAAAAATCGAAAAATCGAAAAATCGAAAAATCGAAAAATCGAAAAATCGAAAAATCGAAAAATCGAAAAATCGAAAAATCGAAAAATCGAAAAATCCAAAAATTCAAAAATCCAAAAATCCAAAAATCCAAAAATCCAAAAATCCAAAAATCCAAAAATCCAAAAATCCAAAAATCCAAAAATCCAAAAATCCAAAAATCCAAAAATCCAAAAATCCAAAAATCCAAAAATCCAAAAATCCAAAAATCGAAAAATCGAAAAATCGAAAAATCGAAAAATCGAAAAATCGAAAAATCGAAAAATCGAAAAATCGAAAAATCGAAAAATCGAAAAATCGAAAAATCGAAAAATCGAAAAATCGAAAAATCGAAAAATCGAAAAATCGAAAAATCGAAAAATCGAAAAATCGAAAAATCGAAAAATCGAAAAATCGAAAAATCGAAAAATCGAAAAATCGAAAAATCGAAAAATCGAAAAATCGAAAAATCGAAAAATCGAAAAATCGAAAAATCGAAAAATCGAAAAATCGAAAAATCGAAAAATCGAAAAATCGAAAAAAAGAAAAATCGAAAAATCGAAAAATCGAAAAATCGAAAAATCGAAAAATCGAAAAATCGAAAAATC